TGTGTGTGTGTGTGTGTGTGTGTGTGTGTGTGTGGTTGTGGGTGTGTGTTTATGTGTTTGCGCTATAGAGCCGTTAAGACGTGCCAGACAGTTTTGAGTGATAGCCTTGGACTACCGCAGCCAGGAGACCAATAACAGTCAGCGGCTCAAGGAGGCTCCTGCCAAGTGACCGATGATTAGATCCAACTGGAAGAGACCAGAGCTGAATGACCCGTCACTCCTCAGCTTCATTTCCCCTCAGAGCCCCATTCCCAGTTTCCCCCAGTTACAGAACAGCCTTTCTGTTGTGTGGCAGTTGCAGAAATACGCTGGTTTACGCTCTCTGTGTCCTGGGTTTTGTTTGATCAGAATTGTGTTTTGGGTGGATGCTGGGGCGTGGACTGGAGGGGTTGAAATCTGATTGGACCCAGAAGTTCCCCCGTCCCGTCACCACAGTCACTTGACTCTTTGCAGATGTCAAAAACTTTTATACATTGATTATAAAAGTGTTTTCTATGCACACCTGTTTAAATCCTGAAAATTAAGAGTTTTCTAAGCTTTTTTAAAGTTCACAAAATGCTTGAACAGGGTCTTTGGTCAAAGCCGTACAGCCAGTGGGAAACAGGGAATGACTAACGACCTCTAATTGAATGAGACATTGGGCATGGCTGTTTGACATATACTTGGCCCCTGTGTTTAAAAGGTTCCTGCCTGAGGACCTCAGACTGCGTCCACATTGATTAGAATGCAGTAACTCAGAGATACAGTCTGCGGCCATGAATGTTCTCCAAATTGATTCTTTAATAAAATGGTGGCCAATAATGTAAAGACATTAGGAGGGGAGTAGTATGGGATCTTTGTAGTTTTGTTTGCAGTCTGGAGTCCATGAACTGTTTACTGAAAGCAGGTAGGAGACCATTCCAACACATTAACATATATAAAGCTATGTATATAAACAGCAATGCTATGAAAAAGCATGAAGCAGATACTATGATACTTGACAACACAATTATATAAATTGTTTGAAGTCTGTCAGACCTAACTTTTACTCCTGATCTCTTCCTCTGTGCAGCTAATCATGCTTGATACTCTGATAAATGAGAGAAACTCCACCTGCTCGGATTCTTTTCTTTTTTCGCCTTAACGATAGTGCTGCTTGTCTTCATGCCTCCTTGCAGCCTCAGCTCGGGTGTGTATTGACTTTGTCATATTGATCAGATAGAGCAGCGGGGTGGTCCTGCACTCAGCCGTCAGTTCATCTCGATGTTTCTAAGACTCTGGCAAACAAAAGGAGAAGAAGTTAAATCAGCCGTGTTCGTCCGCTCTGTTCAGCTCGCTTATTTATGGTAAAAAATTAGTCTCTGAGCTTGGCTGCTGTTCCGCTGGGCAGAGCCAATTTATGAGCAACACATCTCCCATCTGTGTAATTTATAAACTGACCTCGGCTGTTTGACATATTGATTCTTGCCAGAGTGTGGCCCTCCCCTCCTGTTGGTGGGCTCCCATCCAGAACCTGCTGTGTTCCACAGCTCTGTGGCTCTGCTTCGTCCTGTGGTCATCCCGGGGTTACTGCGGAAGGTCTGCTGGCTATCCCGGGAATCTGGATGGGATGGCTCCCACAGGACCACGCTCCCACTGATCATTATTGTCTATGAATAGCTGCTGCATTGCAGATGGAGGGAAGAGAGGGAGGAGGAGGAGGACAGGTATGGGAAAGCAGTGTAGCAATGGAAGAGGAGTAGTCTGTGGAGAAATAGGGAAGATGGTGGAGCACAAGAGCCTGAGACGTGTGTGTGTGTGTGTGTGTGTGTGTGTGTGTGTGAATGTGTGTATGTGTGTGTGTGTGTGCAGGAATACAGAAGAAATGTCATTCTCAAGGACACTCAGGTCCCTCGATGTGATGATTCAAACAACAGATCTGCTCATCTGCTTATGCAGCCAGGCTTTCAAATAAAGTGTGATTGTTCAAAGCAATAAGACGAGAGAGAGAGAAAGATGGAGAGACACACATAGAAATAAAGGTATAGAGGAGGCAGTGCACAGCCACGGCTGAAATGATGATGATAAAAAGGATGTGTCCATCGCCTCATTAAATTTCAGTGTCTTTGAGGAACACGTAATGATCGCTGTACCCTCACAAACCTCCATGTTCACGCATTGTGGCACACACACACATAGACACACACTTTCTTCTGTAGGAGGACATTATCATTTTACCCTAACCTCGCCTGATCTTCATCGTGCCCATAACCATTACCAACAGATGTAAGACTTAACCTGAGATGGGGTTGCTGGCGAGTAGTTTTGCTGCAAATCGACGAAACAACTTATGGACTGAGCCCCAAACAACACCCACACATAAACAGACTCATGCACAGTTATTGAGGGGCTGTAATTGATTAGTTTGTGTGGCCTGCTGAATGATGATGATGATGATGATGATGATGATCACTGCTCTGGACAGAATGCTTGTGGTCTGCACTGTAACACTTGGCAGGGCAGTGGCATTAGTTTGTCTTTGTGGAAAATGTTTGTGGTTTAGTTTGTGCATGAAAAGTCTCAAGTGCTGAAACTCAGATGCCTCTCTCTATCTCTCTACCCTCTCTCTCCTCTCCTCTCTAACTCTCTTTCCACACTCCCTTCTTTCCCTCTGCACTGTATCCCCTCTTGCCATCTCTTTCTCTATCTCATCACCGCCCTCCTCCTATCCTCTCTCTCTATTACCTCTCTAACTTCAGTCTATCCTCTCTCCCTCTTTCTCTCTCCTCCTATCCTCTCTGTTTGCCTATCATCACTCTCCCACTCTCTCTCTCGCCCTCCCTCCCTCCATATACTCCGCTATGTTCGGCTCCCTCTCTCCAGTCGCGGTTACCGGCTGTACGGTCAAGGAGCGACGAGCTCACTCTATAGTTTTCGGTTTTACCAGGGGCGCAACACGAGCCACGAGCCCCGCCATTTCCTCGTGCCGAGCCCTGGGATGTCGAGCAGCGGCTCGGGCTCTTCCTCGCGGAAGGAATTCGATGTGAAGCAGATCCTCAGGATCCGATGGAGGTGGTTCGGCCACCCCGCGGTCCCTCCGCCTCACTCCCCGCCTCTAGGTGACTACTTCGCCGGAAGAAGAGCGGGCGGCAGCTCCGGGGACGGACCGTCAGTTAGCGGCAGTAGCAACTCGAATCCAGCGGGCGTAAACCCCAGCGCGGGGGGCCACAGCGGTCTGGTGGCCAGCGGCAGCGCCGGTTCGAACCTGTGTAACGCCAGCAACAGAAAGTTTGCTGATCCGGCGGGGAGTCGCGTCGGTCCGGGAGGAGCAGCAGTGGGAGCGGCGGGGAGCTCCTGTCCTCGCTCCCTCAGCCAGCCGGAGTGTAGGAGCACCACCGCTGCGCTGTCGTGGGGCTCCCCGCCGACTCATCGTCGCTCTCGCCCCGTGACGAGTATGGAACCTCCCGGCGAGGCTGCGGTTCCCCAGCTTGTACCGGAGGCTCATGCCGGAGGAGAAGAGGAGGAGGCGGCGGCAGTTGCCGCGGGGGGCACCGAGGAGAACAACGGCCAACACCCGGAAACAGACTCCAGCTCCTGCAGGTAGGGATGGATGGACTGGGTCAGTGCGGGGTGACATAGGATCCGGCTCCTGTTAGGAAAACTTCCCGGGTTCGTACATCCCCATTGAAAGTCTCTTTCTCTCTCACACAGTGATGATTGTGCAAGTGATGAACTTCTGAGCTGAACTAGTTATTGTCAGAGACCAGTAGAGAATCACTAACATGTTTGATTTAGTTAGATTGAGATAAATAATCAACGAATAATTTTATGCTTTTATTTGTCATATGTGATTGTAAACTGAAAACCTTGGTAATTATTTGAGTGTTGATCTAATAAAATAATAACTGAATACATTTTTTGGGGCTTTAGGAAATTATTATATTATTATATTTCATAGACAAGGTTGAGAAAATAATATGCAGATTATTCAATAATGACAATGAAGAATAGTTGTAGCCCCAAGAGTAAATAGATGGGACTATTTAAGAATAAGCACAACATGAGGATATTCAGACAGCATGCAGTATAATGGAGGGTCATTACATAGAGATGTACCTTTAGGACGGCATGTGGTCCACTGATTTCTCCCCTCACCCTCCCATGAGGCCTCACCAACCAGGCTCCGGAGAACACAAACTCAAATACTACACTATTGTGAATATGGGAATTTCATAGTCAAAGTCACAACATGACTCCAGGGCAGAGCTCCACATGTAGCTACATACTGCACTTGACATTTATATTATTTCTCCAGCTTCCCCTCACAATCCTTAGTGCTCGGCACATTTGTTTGCACATGCATGATGGAGTGTGAGTGTTGCATTGGCGTCCAGCTATAGTGATGTGAAAGGGTATTTAAGTAATGGTTGCCACGGAGACTGTGAAACAAAGTAATTAGGGTGTCATAACTCCTCTTAAGCGCATCTGCACAGACTCAACGATTTATTTTTTTATTATGATGCTGCAGTAAATGTGAGGAAGTAAAGGAATAAGGAAGAAATACACTGTGTGTGTGTGTGTGTGTGTGTGTGTGTGTGTGTGTGTGTGTGTTTACTACCCTGGTATAATGATGCGTCTGAAAGCCTCCTATCCTACTTTGTGTTCCCAAGACACACATCAGAAAATATAAATGATTCATAGGACACACTCACTCACTCACTCACTCATTCACTCACTCACACACTCACTCACACTTTAAATCAGCTTTCAGTGGAAGCAAATGCAGATGTATTTTTTAAATGGATTAATGTCGGAAGCTCTTTCATCCTACACCCCATTTGTTTTTTCAGCAAATGTGTATGTTTGCGTGTGTGAGAGAGAAACATGCAGGGAGAGAAATCTGGTTTCAAAAATATCTGCCAGGCTTGATGCTTTAGTTCTTAAACCGAAAATTGCTTGCTTAATTGTAACACACGTACACATACACCAGCCTCATTAGCATAGACAAAGAAATTCATTTGTGAGCCTGAGCTGATTTTAAGTATGTATCGCACATGTGCATGGATATAGCCATGTCCATGCACATGTTATGGTTGCCATACCAACACAGAGATTACTGTCTGCAGTATGTGCAGCTCTGTGCATGCAAGTTTTGTGATTTATATGTGTATGATGCTATTCATCCTCTCCCCCGGGAGCCTCTGCACAGTATGATACTCCGAGAACACGGGTGGCAGAATCCCAAATGGGATCATAGGAAGGGGATGCATACTGAATCCTAGAGTGGCTGAAGGCTCAACATGGCTACATCTCCTCTTTCTCTTTTACTTTCTGAACTCACCCTCCTATCCCTTTTAATCCTGCACTGCTCCCCTCTCTCTCTCTTTGTCATCTCATCCATTCATTTTCCGTGTCTCTTGTGTTTTGGAAACGAAAGCATTTGCATGTGTGGCACGGAGGGTGTAACATGTGCAAACGAGTGTCATGCGTATGATCACACCGTACATCAGCTTACAGAACAAAGTTTCATTTGCATTAGCTTAAAGGTTAATCAGGCTAGATAGTCAAATTCAAGAAAGTGTGTTTGTGTGTGAGAGAAGCAGGGCGAGAGACACTGAATGAGAGTTGTGTGAATGTCCTTGCCTGGTGCAGGGGTTTAAAAAATCTGGCTGCATGGTGTTGATTCGCCCCAGACTCGCTCTCTCTTTCTCCTGTCTCTCTGTCGTTTTCTCCCTCTCTGTCCATATTGAGTGCCTGCCAGGCTCAATTAAGGGGACTGGAAGGCAGCGTGCCCCCCACTTCAAAGCCATCTCCTCTGGCTGTATTTAGCCACACCATTTGTCTACATGCACACTCATACCCGAGGACAGGAAAGGCAGCCAAAAAGCCTCCTTGGAGACTAAGAATGGAATAGGGAAGAGAGAAAAGCAGGGCAAAGAAGGATGTTGGGATGAGGTGGAATGAATTGAGTGATGGACGAGATTAGTTAAAGATATAAAAGTGTGGAAAGGAGATAAATATAGAGGATCAGAGGGAATATAACATCTGTTAGAAGCAGCAGCACAAAGCAATTTGTTTTTATGGCACTTACAACTTTTATTAATAGTGCCTGAGATTACTTTTGAATTGAGGTTTAAACAGTGCTGATGAGAGTGTTGACAGTAAACTTGTCGTCGGAGGGAAAATCTTAAAGATGCCCATGGAGGTGAAGGGAACAGCATAGTTGAATAATAATTCTCTTTTGGCTTGTGATTACAAGTGACCCCTTTCACTTATGTGATCCTAAATAGAAATATTCATAGTATTGAACAGACAGGGAAAACCCATTAACTGGAAAATAACAAGATAACAGAGGAGGGCTCCTTTTTCCAAATAACATAATATTATATAACTACATTCCAAACGTATATAAAAAATTACAAACTGCAAAAGACGGAATATTCAATTTCTCTTCTGCTGCTCAGTTGATGTGATATCTTCCTCTGAGTATCACTACGTTTCTTATCTCTTTGTGTTGTCAAGCTAGTCCTGCCTCTTCTGCCATTAAATTAAAAATGGAAGTAACAACTCAGGCTCTCATAAATTAAATGCTCGTTTGGGAGCCATGGCTGATGATTCACAGGGAAGGTATACGTCAGTGCTTATCTTTGATGAAAAAACACACACTCAAACACACCAGCCCTCTCTCTTACACACACACACACACACACACACACACACACACACACACACACACACACACACAAATCTCATTGGCTTTGACAGGAAGAATAAGACATAACAGCCCTGGGCCTCAACACTTTCACCAGCGGATAACGAATGTTGAAGCCCCAAACTCTGTTTCCTTTCCAGTTGTCAGTGTAGATACTTGGAAACTGGTTGCCATTAGGGAGCCGAGTAAATTACTGCTTATCCTATGGGCTCAGCGCCCACAGCTCTTTAATTGGCAGCTTCTCTTTTAAGTGGGTTAAATTTATCTGGCCATTTACTCCTAGTAATTGGACCATTAAGGAGCTTTTGTCTGCTCCTGGCGACACACTATAACCCTGCTAAAAATAAAGAAGAGAGCAAATACATGTGAGGGAATGGCACAAAGAAGAAGGTGACACATGGAAGACATGTAGCAGCTGGTGTAGCTCTCTCCACACATCTGTCCCTTCGTCTTATACAAAAGAAAAATCAGTGTCTACACCTGCACTCTAAGTTTCTGTCTCCTTGTCTTTGTGTCTCTTGTGTGAATGTTGGTCCTTGTCTGCGTGTCGCTGCCTGCATACAGGACGTCGAACAGCAGCGCCACACTGTCCTCATGCATGTCAATGGAGCCATGTGCATGTCCAGAGGACTGTATGTTCACCGCCATGTCCCATGCTGACATCACCTTCCGGAAGATGGAGGGCTACCTGAGGAGCCGGCAGCTGTGTGATGTCATACTGGTGGCTGGAGACAGGCGGATACCCGCACACAGGTAGGAGCAAAGAGACGTTGTGTATTTTGGCATCTTCCTCTTCTCTGCCGGTTTTCTCAAAACTTTCTGGGCACTTTTAACACACATGCACACTCATGCTCATGTGGTAACACAAATACCTCAGGATCTGTACACACACACACACACACACACACACACACACACACACATACACACTTACAAACACTTCACAGTACTTTTTGGAAAGGAACATTCACAACCCAACATAACCACATTAATGTTCATGAATGTCCCCTTTTTATCTTTGTAGTCTCTCTGTATCACATTTTCAAAAGAAACTCTGAATCATGCATCAAATACACACACACACACACACACGTGCCTATCATCCACCTCATAGGCCTCTCACTACACTGCTCTGTGGCTGTCGCTCTCTGGGCATGTGGCCACTGGTGCAGCAGCACGGTCCATCTGCACGAGGATGAGACAGAAGAGCGGCCCTTCACTAGCAGAGAGACTCCTTTTCTCTCACCGCCTTCCTCTTCTGCCTCATTTGATTTGGTCCTCCAGGCACAGATGGTGACAAACAAAAGACCCTGCTGTAGGAGAATCCTAATGGTGTATGTAAAAGAGTGTGTGTGTGTGGGAGTGCGTGAGTGCCAGCAAGAGGGTGTAGACATCTTTGTTTGAAAGTGTTTGCAATTGATTTATTGTATGTGTAGGATAAAAGAGCTTTTCTGGGAACAAAACATACACCCCCTTACTCTCTCCATCATACATGTCCACAAACAAATGTAGCATACATGCTGAATACTGGTGCTGTGTAGCTCCTTGTTTTTTTGTAGTTTGTTGCAAGCACCAAAACTCAGGCCCTATATCTACTTTAAAAAAAGTATAGCACAGGTGTACTCTGGGGCCCTACACAAATACATTACCTTGGAATCAATTTGTACCCCCATCTGGACACTGCTACCTATGATTTAGCTTATATTGATGCAGAAACTCTTATTGTACCAGTATTATGGATCAATATATGCTTCAGGGACTCATTATGTTCACATGATATCACATATGTGTTTTTAGTCCAATAAGACTCAGAGTCTACAGCTATTTTAGCCCTATTCTGAACAGTCTAATCCATTGCAGTAGAGACAGTCCCACAGGGTCCCTTAGATGCTTTGACATTAGTGTATTTGTCAAAGATTGTTCTCATTACTGCCGACTGAGGCTGGAGAGTTGGAAAAACACAGAACTGCAGTTGTACCGGATGTTTTTTTTGTCTGTGACTTTGACCTGCTGCTGGTGGTTGGGATTACCAAACCCATTAGCTCCATGCTCTGGTAGTCCATCCATTACATGTTGAGATATTTCAGTCTGTTCCAAAGAGGTGAACTAATGGTCTGACAGACCGACAGATTGCAATGTTGCAGCCTCTCAATTAGCATCACTGAAACTATACAACTCCTATAGTTGTAGTTTTGAGTAGGTGTAGAGAAAGGTCTAAATTATGAAGTAAGTCTTTCCTATCACCCCTCCACTTGTTTTTCCTCTCTTTGTTTTTCCACTTCTGTATCTCTACCAGGCAGCACATCCACACTCAAACAGATACAGTGTTCAATTTCCAACTCTTGCCCTGCTTTCCTGAGTCGATCTCATCTGTTTCCTGTTCTCATCACTCCGGCATTTTGTCTCTCTGCTATCTTACTCTCCATTACAGTGTGACACACCGCCTGCCATGTCTCTGTCTTTACCATGCTGTATTTGTGTTGTGTGTAAAATAAATAACCCACAACTGTATGCTCTTTGACTCGCTCACAGCTACACGTCTTTGACATCTTTGTCTGTAAAACACACACATGCACATACATACGCTCTGCTCATCTGCACTTTAGGCTATCTGTCAAGGTCCTAGTGTCACACTCAGTAATGAGATTATACACAGCACACAGCTCATACATATTCAGTGTGTGTGCACAATACACACGCACATGTGTATGCAAACACAGGTCTGCTGGCCACGAAGTCAACAAAGGACATGCAAACAGTGAAAACAGTAAATCAGTTTGATTTAAGAATGTATCAGTACTGAAAAAAATAAGAAGATTAGAGTGAATATGGGCATCAAGCAGAGCTTAAAAGTGAGATTTATTGTGATCTATTTATCTCTTATCATGAACTAAATACAGATTATATCAGAAATACTGGATCATGTAAAGGATGAAAGAGACATCCCTCAGTCACCACCTCATTTACGAAGACATTTCCAAGAGCGAGGAATGAAAAATGCTGCATATGAATAATTTAACAGTTACTTTCTGGTACTTTTTTAATACCTTGATATTTGTGTGTGTGTGTGTGCGTGCATGTGCATGATGAACTTCACGGTGACATGAAAGGGTAATGGATTGTTGTGGGGGGAAAATTAAGTAAATGTCTTTTTCCAAGTGACCTTATAGATAATACTTCTCTGTCCTTCATCCGTCTTTCTCTCCATTTCTCCATCTTTTTCTCACAACTCTTTATTTTTCATTGACCTTACATCAAACGTGTTCCTCTCATTCTTTTCTGTCTCTCCTCCACAAGCTCAGTCGCTGTGACTGACACATGCAAATTGAATAATCTCCCATCTGACAGCAGGTATTGGCATTTCAGTTTTTTTGTACATGCATGCCAGGACTGGATTTGGCGGCAGTTGTGTCCAAAATAACAAGCCGTGTGTAACTAAAGGCAGGAAGAGGTACAGATTAGTAAAAGCCCTTTGAACAGGGGACAGTCAGGGTAAAAACATCTCTAGAGGTTTGGAGGATAAAATAACGAGACCGAGACTTGACAGACGGCATAAGTGAAATTACAGTCAGGAACTTTGAACAGGAACTCTGTTCAATCTTCATTCATGGAATATATATGGCAGAATATCAGGATGCTAAGATTACAGTTGCAACAGTGCATCATTTTTGGCAAATTAATCAATAATAAAAATAATCTTTGATTGCAGTAATAGTTGAGACAATCTCTTACTTCAGACATTGCAAATCAGGATGTGTTATTACATTATCTGTGTAGAAGACAAGCTACAGGCCCTTATGGCACCTGTGTGTACCATGTGCCATCACCAACCCTCTAATAGCAAATGGACTATTTTTAGGTCTTACTAACCACTGAAACACTTTACGCTTTCATAAAATCTACATGCAGCACTTTTTCTATCACACATTCATCCATTCATATTTAGGGGTTAAGTGTCTTGTCTAAGTGTTTGGAATGTGTATTGAGGAACTAGGGATCGAACCACCAACCTTGTGGTTAGTGGACCACCCTTGCTCTTGTGCAACAGCCACCCCTAATGTGTCCCTGGTTTTGACACATAGTCTTACACAAATAAGAGTTTAGGTCAGTGTCTCTTATGCCACAAGTTTAAAACTTAATTTTTATTGTATGTTTTATCATTGTTTTAAAGACTTAATCCTTACTATTTATGAAGGAAACTTGCAGTTAAACGTCTGAGGCTGTAATTGTTAGTGCGATGCTCAGTGTGTACAAACATCTGGAGATGCCTAAGGCTCATGCAAAGCTTTTGTTTGCACAGATTTATTCTCCCTCGTACCTTTACATCTCTTCAGAGAGGAATATAAATAGAGGTACTCAATATGAGGGATTCTAACAAGAGCCAGAAGTCAAATAATACTTGCAGTAATGAGCCATTATATTCCCATCTGCTGTATAGCACATGTAGGATTTTATGTCCTTTACAGTTGTAATAATTACAGTCTGTTTACTCTGAACTGTTGGTCCTCCTATAACTATATGGAGACTAGATGTAGAAGTCACTCATGTTATGAGATGTGCACCTCTCTCCCTGCAGTGTTGTACCTTGCCCTTCAGTTGCCTTTATGTTAATCTGACAGCATTTAATTCAAACTTGTGCTGTGCTGAAAGTTTTACAGAAATGTTACTTGGTCCAATCAAGACCAAAATGCTTATTCAGACAAGATTGACACTGACATGTTAAACTGTCGTCACATGAATGTAAAGGGGCTTAAGTCCAAATCTGTCAGAGAAGATAAGAAAAATAAAACATTGAAGTCTTGCTAGTTCTTGTACGAGTGAGTGGAGTGTAAGACAGCTTCAGTTTAGTGTTCTGAAAACCTCACACATATGTGACGAGACATTATTCTAACTTTTTCTTCACGGTTACTTATTTTGTCATGACTTTTGACACCAGATACTTTCTAGCCCACAACCCCTGTCTCTCATGAGGCTGCACACCTACGTAGACTTTATAAAGAAATGGACAACATAAAGTGAAGCCACCCCTGGTGGCTGGCTGAAGTATAGGTCATAAAACCCTTCCTCCTCCATGTTAGTGTATGGGATATGGGTCAAATTGGTTCTTATCACACTGATGTGTGTTCAAGTGTTATTCTTTCCTGATAAACCTAGTTGTAAGTACTTATTCAGTGCTATAAGAGCAGGGGGAAACATCATGATTGACAGCTCAGACTGACTCATGATTGGTTGTGTGTGTGTATTGGCGGGACCTTGACACCATAGCTCCATCATCATCAGATTGCTACTGTGCAGACAAATAGCGTTTTCAGTGCAAGATCACAGAGTTTGTATCCAAGATTTTTGGCTTCATTTCTGGATACTGGGAGGGAGTGGAGATGTGTCCTCCATGTTTATTTACAGTCTATGATCCTATCTCAAACATCTGCTCTATTTAATGTGCACCCCAGCCATGTCTGTAGTTCAGATGTCCCCCTCGTGCACGTTTGGCCATAGTAGAAAACACATGCTTGTTGTGACCTTCAGTCATGTAGCAGTAGACTTTCACACTTATGGTTTCTCAGAACTAGTTTGTCATATGTGCACTCTGACCACATTTGAACAATTCAAACAGCCCCTTTGGAAGGTGGAGTGAAAAGGCCCTTATAAAGAGGTGAGGATGTGTATTTAGGACATGCACTACTGCACTCTGACGTTCACATTGAAGGAGGCTGGTTTCTGAAGCTGTTCGAGCAACAGACAAACGGGCTAATGCAGGATGAGTGTTGTGTGTTGTCTGGCTGTGTCTTCATGTCCTGGCTGCTCTATCCGTCTCTGCTCTGCATCTTTCCCCCATCTTCCCAGACTCGTTTTGTCAGCAAGGTCAGAGTCATCTGTTCCTCCATTACAGCTGTCCATCCTCTCTGACTGATGCCTGACACTCTCTCCTCTCACAGACTCGTCCTCTCATCTGTATCCGACTACTTTGCGGCCATGTTCACCAGTGATGTGCTGGAGGCCAAGCAGGATGAGGTGAAGATGGAGGGAGTAGACCCTGATGCGTTGTGGGTCCTGGTGCAGTATGCATACACAGGTACGCACACATGTACTGCATTATTACCAATGCCAAGGATTTTCATCCACGTTTGTTTGTCAGTAAGCAGAATTACTAAAAAACGACTTAACCGAGGAAGAATACACACAATTTTGGAGCAAATTTGGTAAATGGGCAGATATTCTTATGTATATCTTACAAGCATTTAGATTAGAGTTATGCAATAACTATTCAATTGATTTCCAGAAACTTTAGCCAATTGGTATAGCCAAAGGAAAGGAAGAATCAACTAAGTTGGAAAAGTGGATCCAGGATATTTTTTTTTCATCGCATTAAATTGCCAAGATTGGACATAAGCCCTCGCGGAAGTATGTGCTCACTGGGTGCCTTTCTGTTCTTAATCTGCCTTCATCCCTTCCCTCTTTCTGTTGCTCAGGCCGTCTTGAGTTGAGGGAGGACACCATCGAATCTCTGCTGTCAGCCTCTTGCCTGCTGCAGTTGTCATCTGTGGTTCAGGCCTGCTGCTCCTTCCTCATGAAGCAGCTCCACCCCTCCAACTGTCTGGGCATTCGCTCCTACGCTGACGCTCAGGGCTGTTACGACCTGCAGAGGGCTGCTCACTCCTACACCATGGTATGTACACGGCTGCGTTACATCTGTACCTCCTGCGCTTATAGAGTCACCACATTTATAATGATGTAGATTCAGGTAGACAGCAGATGATGTTTAATGTATTTCAAACACTCCTCAGGTTTTCTTTCACAACTGTCCTTCTCCACCTCTGTAACGCTTTCCCCCTCTCAGATTCTGGTCATCTTCCAGCCTTGATGTTATTTTGAGTAACAAATTGGTTCTTCGTTCACAAAGCGCCACACACCATTACCGCCACAATGGCTGTTTTCAGCAAAGGGTTGCTATGGTGACAGTGAAATAGCTCCTTCATCGACTTGATTATTCTTTTTCTTTTCTTGCTCTCTCTCCTATCTTTTTATGTGCCGTTCTCGTCGAACCAGCCTCCCTCTGTGCATCTGTCTCCGTCAATGTCACTGTTCCTCTCTTTCTTTCTCTCTAAGTGGATTATTGTTAAACTTTAATCTGCGGTAATTATGTCGTAAAGGTGGCTTTATCTGGGTTTGACTGTGTTAGTAATGAATTTACACACATATATTTCCACACTCAGGAAAAACTCAAAGGATTATCACAGAGCTACACAATAGCGTGACTTGGTAGAGAGCAGTGCAGCCTATTTATATGTGAACCAGGTCACATTTACATTTTTTTTCTTCCCCCTTTATAATTCCCACAAATAGTACGTCCCTCTGCATAAAATAATAAAACACAACTATAATAACTATGACAAACGTATTAGTCACAGTATAACACTAACAACCATTATTGCCATTATCATTGCTCCTTATCGCCCCTTTCCACACAATTACATACAGTTACTATGTACTGTCTGCAAGCAGTGTTTCTTTTCTGGCCTCTACCTTAAAGTTTCTACTTTTTATATTTACTTCTGATTTCTATTCAAATTCAATCACTATTAGGTCTATAACAATTAGCTTATTGACAGAAAATGTACCTGCAACTATCAAAATGATTCTCTATTTATCATTCAAGACATTTTCGAAGCAATTCTCTGGATCCAGATTTTTATTTTTAAGTGTTTTCTTTTGTGAGTTAAGTTTGTCTCTTTGGACTTTGAAGATGTCAGCTTGTGAACCAGGAAGTTGTGATGGACATCTGCTATATCTATATTCTGACAGTAAAGATCAAACAATTAATCGATCAATTTCTAAAACCTTAATCAAGTAGCAGGGCACTCAGAGAGCGCATAGCTATGCCAGGGTTCAAGACTGCACTTATAAAGGCATATTGAAATTCACCAGATCTGGATTTTTTTCCTTCAGAGTTCCACCAAATTGCACACACTCAGAAATATAACTCCCCCTAAACTTGCCTGATTTCATCAAGATCCACGAATTATTCTCTGAGAAATCAATGAAAATGCTGAAAAACACCTCAATTATACATAAAAATATTCCTCAATCTGCCCACTGATCTGCATCTGCACCAAAACTTCTAAGTTTTGTGGAAATCTGTCCAGTGTTTTTTGCCTAATCATGTTAACTAACAGACAATTAGACAAGCAAAAACAACCTCCTTGGTGGAAGTAGTAATGAAAATGATTAGTTGCAGCCCTACTCTCTCAACCTTTTTTCTTCAGCTTTCCTCATCCGTCTTTCTCTGACCTTTCTCAAGCCTTCATTTCCTTTCATATGACCTCGCCTCCTCCCAACCCCTTGATCTCTGTCTCCACACAAGACCTCTGGATTTTTCCCCCCACTTCTTATTCTCCTCTTTCTTGTGCAATAAATTATTCTTTGATTGTTACTCTTTAGAAACTAATTTGTCTTTACCTCTCTGCTCTTACATTGGTTTCATCCATTGTTTTACTATCTCTCCACCCTATAGGATCACTTTTTAGAGGTGGTGGGAGGCCAGGAGTTCCTGCTGCTCCCAATGGACGAGATGGAGAGGCTGCTCACCTCTGATGACATCAACGTGCCAGATGAGGAAACCGTGGTTACCTCTTTGCTAACGTGGGTCCGTCATGACTCCACCACTCGTCAACCTCACCTACCTGTGCTGCTTGCTCACATCCGACTGCCGCTGCTGCAGCCACAGGTGAACATAACTTATTATTAAATACTAAGATACTATTTTATTTAATAATTATTGAATAACCTGCTTTCGATTTTTCTGGTTCCTCACTGTGTCAAACTCACAAGAGAATAGGACAGAATTCTAAACACTTGATTTTAAATTGATGTTAACAGTGTTTTCCATTTTCACTCATCATGAATTTATTTTCTCTGTGGCAGCAGAATATGTTATACCAGACTTGAGAAACTCCAGTTTAATCTGGACTAACCAAAACACTTTAAAGGCTGATTAACTCTGAAAGACTCATTATTTATAGGCATGAACACACTCACGAGCCCAAGGCTACAAACAACCCACAATGCAATACTCTGACCATATTTATTCTGGGACTTGCCAGACGGTTTTAAAACAAACAACATGGTCTTATATCAGGACCAATCAAACATGTTCTCCCTCCAGATCGTAAGAGAACTCTCAGCATCAATTTTCGCTTAATTCGGTTCAAACACTTTTCAAAAATACTGAGGCACTTTGCCTGAGTCTTATGTTGATGGTGAAACCCTGACCACTGTTGGATTGTGTCAGTGTTGTTCATGTCTTCACATCTGTCGCAGCAGGAGGTGAGAGTTTGTGTCAGTTTTACTCATAATGATCCTTTCCTTGTTTTCCACGGTCAAATTTCTCTCATCTCTCCTTCTTCTTCTTTTCCTCTTTCTGGCTCGAATCCGTCTCTCCCTCTCTTTCACGATCCTCTTCAGGCAATTACAGGGACTATAGTCATTAAGCTAACTGTAGATGACAACCATTATTCTGTCAGGTGTGTGCTTGTGTTTGTTTTTTGTGTGTGTGTATCTAATTGTGTGTGCACACATGTACTTATACACTTCTCTCTCCTCTAACTAGCAAGTGTAGCAGAGTCTCTGACTGGTAATGTGATGCAGAGACATTTATATGCTAGGTAGAACCTCAGTTACTGCCTAAGGCATTGGAGACAGACGCACACACACATACACACACGTACACACACATTTTTAAACCTTAATTAAGTGTGATATCACTCTTAACTGCAGTTAAATTATCTGTTCTCCTCACCTCCCTCATCAGTCATTTCCCTCCATATATATAAAGAAAGTGTGGAGATAAAACCCACCTTGTGGCCCTCCCCTCCTCTCTCTATCCTCTCAGCCTGCATCCATACATCTCCCTGTCTGTGCACTTGTGTGGTACACAGCATGAACACTTCAGATATACGACTTTGCCCCGGTCAGCTGAAATCGCAAAGTAGCTGCAACATGTAACCAGGCACAAGATGGATGGCAGAGAGGTACAGCTGGGCGACAGAGGAGAGAGAGCAAAAATAGAAGACACAGAGCTGAGTGTCTATTCAGCCATTAACAATGTATCACCACCACCACCACCACCACCAGCACCGTGCTTAACGGACAAATTAATTTACATTCAGCGACCTCAGGAGCTGTGAAATGACGTCTTAACCTCACGCAGACAACCAATCAATTTTCATCAACCAATTAGTCAGTTCTCTATCTAGGCCACCATGTGATTTTCTCATCAAGTGGATGTCAATTCATCAGATTAATACCTTTAATCCCTGCTCCCTATTACCACTGTCTTACACACACTTGTTCTAATCTTATCAGAAAAGCATCTGTGGCCGTAAATAAATGTGAACCAAACAGATATATTGTATACAGTGCAGTGCAGAAAGGGTAGAGTTAGGCTGTCCGGTGCGTTTGTAGTTATTCACAATGACCAAACTGAGTGAAAAGCTGAGCATCATGGGTGAGGCTAAACACAATAATCGCTTTAATATGGGGATAACAGCCCATATGTTCAGGCAGTCTCTTCAGATTGATTAAAGAATGAAACAAGAGAGAAGTTCAAGCCCTTCTTCCTCTCTCACATTTCTCACACTGTGCTTAAAAGCGAGAGGGGGTGGTTGTCAGGGTTCAGGGATCACAGTCATTAGGATTCATCCTCTGTGGATTGTGACTGTCAGTCCATCCATCAAAATATGTTCAGATTGATTTTCTGATGATTGTCCATCCATCCATCTATTATATATACTTCTTATCCTTTGAGAGTCGATGGGGAGCTGGAACCAATCCCAGCTGACATTGGGCGAGAGATTGGGTACACCCTGGTTGCATGTGTATCGCAGGGCTGATATACAGAGACAAACATTCACACAGACTGGCAATTTTCAGATGAACCTAAACTGCATTCCTTTGGACTGTGGGAGGAAACCAGAGCACCCAGACAAAAGCCAGGCAGACACAGGGAGAACATAGAAACTCAACAGAGAAATGACCCAGAACCTTCCTGCTGTGAGGTGACAGCGTTAACCACCGCTGCACCGAGACACTCGACTTCTTGATTAAATGACTAGTATTGTGAGCTCTACAGTTGTGGTGCTGGTGTGTAGTGGAAGATGCAAAGCATGGCTATGCATAAAAATGGAGACAAAGAGGGCAGGCGATAGATGACTTTTAAGGAAAATGAGAGAGGGGGATGGTAAGGTTATGTTTTTATGTGTGTGAAAGTGAGTGTGCGTTTTAAGTGGACAAAGACCATGCCTATCTCTTCTGTGAAATGAAGCGGAGAGGGTAGCACAATTTTCTCTCTGTCCACTGTGAGGTGAAGAGAGGACAGAGAGGAGAACGTGGGACGTCTGCAGGAGTCAGACCAATCTCACCCTCCACATTCAATCTTTCACAGCTTGATGGTTAAATAACACAGAAGAGGACAAGCATGTTTCTATCCTCATCCTTCTTTATCTTGCATATACAAAAACAAATGCTGAAATAGGGTTCACCCTAATTTGTGCCTCTGTGATTGTACATGGAATGGAAGTGTGGATTCACCCTGGCGTGTAAGCTGCTTATCCATTTAACATGCTTGCTTTACTCTCTCAACGTCTGGCTGGGAAAATTGATTTTATATTCAGTGACCGAGTTGAATGGAGTTGGGCCGAATATTTTGTTTTTTTTGTGGTGGTGGGAATTATGGGCCACAGCACAGAGGAAAACTGAGAGTGTAAAAATAACTTAGCAGCCATTTGTGCACAGTCTGGAAAGATAAAATGATTTTTAGAGAGAAAGACCAGGCTTCTCTGCAACCTCTGCTGCTTCCCATCTAATGACAAACACACACAACACACACATATGCAAACACACACAAACACACACCTATCTAAATGTAAATTGTACATTTCTAGTCTTCTTGCCTTCTGGGAAAACTTGCTTCTCGCAGCGCTGACTCTCTCACTAGCACTGATTTCCTGTGGAAGGATTGAAGTGCCTCCTGCTACAGCCCCTGGCTCTGTGTGTGTGTGTGTGTGTGTGTGTGTGTGTGTGTGTGTGTGTGTGTGTGTGTGTGTGTGTGTGTGTGTGTGTGTGAGAGAGAGTGAATGTGTGTGTCTGTGCATTTGAAAGTCTTGGCTTTGATAGAGAACAGTCTGTTTTGGATGAACCGGCCAGATCACTTCCCATGTCTCAAAATGCTGAGGGCTCTTTTTTCTCTCCCTTANTGTGTGTGTGTGTGTGTGTGTGTTCATAGATGAGGTTAGAGGGTATGGAAACAGATGAGATGTTCAGGACAGATTAGTTCTCTAGTGTGTCAGATGATCAGTGTGTACATGCTGTTTGTCTGTCTGTGTCTGTGTATTCGTGTGTGTTCGTGTGTGCACACTAATGGCTGCTGGTCTCATCTAATCTCTGAATCAATGAGAGAACAGATTTCTTTCGACCCTCAGATCTCCACAATCAGTGACAACATCGTAACCCACACTGGCCCTCACCCCCACACATACCCTGCATTTGTTTCAGCTGCTTGTTGACAGCAGTTGTCACGTGTCCCTGTGTGTTCATGTTTTTTCATTTGTGTGCAGTTCTTGGCAGACCTTGAGTCCAACCCTCTGCTGCGGGACAGTGTGGAGTGCCAGCGGCTGCTGATGGAGGGGATGAAGTATCACCTCTTGCCGCAGCACCGACCACTGCTTCAGAGTCCTCGTACCCGACCTCGCAAAGCCACCGTAGGAGCCATGTTCGCTGTGGGTGGCATGGACGCCACAAAAGGTAGAACAGCCAGAGGCACAAATCCACATACTCCTAGACAGTACACTACAAATACAGGTTATTTATTACGTGCAACCATAGACTGTGTATAAATATGGACGACGAGTCTCCACTTCAGAACTGCATAAAATAGCAGAAAAAGTTATTTGACGTGTCCTTTGTCATTTCACTTTAGTCCATGTCCCATCCACTAACATTGAGGGGTTATGACCTACACAGCCATCAGGTGGCCATCGAGACGCTTTGGCTTCACTCATAGGGAGCTGTCATGTCGCCCATCTTCATATACAGTTTATGGGTGAAACTTGCTAAAAGGAATCCGGTCTAATCCAATAGCTCTGCAGTAAATCCTCCCTTAATGAAGGTTTTGCTTTTTTTCACTGTTCTGATGAGAAATGTGAATTCAACACTGCAGCCTCCAGAATTACGATACAGTTAAGTCAACACCTGTAAATTAGAGAGCAGCATAATCCCCCTTCATTTTCTGTGTTAACGTGTTTTCCAGGTGCTACCAGCATTGAGCAGTACTGTCTGCGTCGGGACACCTGGAGGCAGGTGGCCACCATGAGTGGGCGGCGTCTACAGTTTGGCGTAGCTGTTCTTGACGGCCGTCTCTACGTTGTGGGCGGCCGGGATGGACTTAAGACCCTTAACACTGTAGAGTGTTACAACCCACACAGCAAAACGTGGAGCGTCATGCCTCCCATGTCCACACACAGGCATGGCTTAGGTGAGCAGCTTGATTTCAACACAATTCTGATCATGGCATCATACAGTGTTGGTACAATTGATCCCTGGAAAATATTTTTTTCACTGTGAGGTCAGAGGTCAGTTTCAGCAACAGCTTAATAGCAGATCGATTCAGTGTCATGCTCAAGGACACTTCAGTAGAGTGGATTTAACCTGTGTACATGAAGGACAGTCTCTTACTCATTGTACAAACCTACTATTCTAAGTACAATATTCGCTACGGCGTGCCGTGCTTGTGTTCCATCTTTTTATATAAGTGTGGGCATGTGTGTGTGAAGGGAGGCAGGGATTCAATCACACATCTGGTAGCACAGATGTTTGGGCTGATAAATCCTTTGAGTGTGGAGGTGTCAACATGTTGCTAACTCTGTACGCTTATTGCCCCGGGTGTGGCCGCACGCACAATAAAAACTCACACTCGTTGTCCTAAATATGTCGGAGCTGATTGTTTTTGTAAGCTGCCATGAGTTAATAATGCTCATTGTGCACTGCAGGTGTAGCTGTCTTGGAAGGCCCCATGTACGCAGTAGGAGGACATGACGGCTGGAGCTACCTCAGCACAGTGGAAAGGTGAGGGGTTGTTTCACACAGATGAAGAAACAGGGACATGTTTTAAGAAGGAGATGTCATAACTGCACTTATTGCTATGTTTCACCACTGATTTTAAATCTTCAAAAAATGTTTTTTTCCAACCAACAGACAAAAGTTGTTTAGTTTACAGTCATTGGAATACTGAGGAAAACAGCAAACATTCAGGATTGAGAAGCCAGAACCAGATAGATTTGGCAGATCGATTCATTTGCACTGAAGAATTAATCAATTATCTGTTGATTTACTAATTGATGAAACAGATTTGTTTAAGTTCTACTCCATAATATTCAAGACTGAGAAGCTGTTGACTCTCTTTGTACCAGGTGGGATCCCCAGGCTCGACAGTGGAGCTTTGTTGCAAGTATGGCTACACCCAGAAGCACTGTGGGAGTAGCTGTACTCAATGGCAAGTAAGTGACCACACAAATCCCTTGAATCCACACTGCATCAAAGTCAAAGATTAAATATTAGTGCATGGCCTGCAGCTCTAAGCATGCCCTTAAAGTTTGTTATCACCTCTGGCTCTTCTTCCTGTTGATGCTGAATCCATTTGTTGTGAGTTTCTCTCGACAAATTCATCTGCTAAATGTATTTACATTTTACCAGAAATTGCATAAAAATCACTGCATTTATACGATTTAGACACAAAGTGAAGAGTCATATTATTGTATAACTGTATACTGTAGATTCTTTGACACCTCACATGTATGATTGTAATAAATTGTCACTGTATGCCATAAAAACAGCCAATGAGAAATCAAAATCTAGAGCTCAAGTAGAGCCAAGACTAATGGAGAGCTTTTTCACTCATTTGTGAATCAGTGCTTTATATTTTCCTTCACTCTCAAAAAAAATGACCTGAGATCAAAGCTTTTTACTGTCCACTCATTTGGATGATTATGCTCTGTCATATCAAACAGGAAATAAAACACTCCCTCTGATTCACACACACACACACACACACACACACACACACACACACACTCACACACACACACAGGTGCATCTAACCTTATCTAAACCTAATTCTAACTCTAATGCTAGAGGCAACAGGCTCGTCTTAACCCTCAAACAGCTCTTTGAAAAAGTGAGGACCACCCAAAATGTCCTCACTCCATCTTTAGGTCTACAAATCAAAATGGTCCTCACAAACACAAGTACACAGCACACACACTCAGTGGACAGTTTATTATGTACACCTAAAGCTATAGTATGCAGTCTAGTAAAGCATGCCGGGGGCTGGGCTATATGGTAAAAAAGTATATCAAGATGAAAGATTTCATTAATTTTTAGTTTAAAAACAACAAATTATATTGCAATAATGATTGATATAGTTTTATTGCCCAGACCTATTAAAGTAGTGTAGTGGTAGGTCAAAGCTGTAGATTCAACTTTGTGGCCATTTTGAAGGCTGCAGTTTGTGATGCTTTTTCATTGTGTTGCGTTAAACAGGCAGTCGTTTACATTATTTTGTCCATCTTATTTCTATTAATGAAGTCACACTAAATAACACAAACACCTCTCAGCAAACTGCAGTACAAACTACTTCCTCCAAAATTATCATTCAGGCAAATCAACACGTCGATAAAAAAACTAAACTTTAAAACCTGCACGTAGGCAGGATTTATTGCAGGATTGTTGTACTGGATCAGTTTTAACTAGGTGTTTCTAATAAACTGCCAACTGAGAGTTTTAATAGTCTGGTTTGATAAGTTCAGGGCTTGAATCTCCTCATTTGCCCCAGAATTCTCCAGCAGCAGACAGTAGCTTATTAAAATTGCAGCATTGCACCGTTGTTCTTCTTATTTTCGTGCCTCAGAGAGACACTAGAGAGAAAGGCTTTATAGATGCTAATTAATATGGAAACAACTGGTTTGTGTTATCTGTGCCCAGCAGTCGTGTATTTGCGTGGCTGCTGGTGTTTGCGGGTGTGCATTTATGTGTTGCGTATTCTCTGGGCTTGCCTGATGGAGCTCATTACTTGCTTGACTGGCTCTGATGCATTGCTTTCTTCACCCCCCTCAACTCCATATCCATGGATGCATGTACACACACACAAACACACAAAATGTGAGTGACTGCTTGGGGTTGTGATGCCCCAAGAGTGTTGGCATGAATACACAAACACACCCATGTACCATCTGTTTGAGTGTCATTAGATTGAAAAGGGACTTCAAGAGTCCAGAAATGTCTTGTTTCGTGTTGCTGCCTTTTTTTGAGTGTGTGTCCACTGAGATAGCACCATCTTCCTGTCTTCCTCAGGTTGTATGCGGTAGGAGGTCGTGATGGCTCATCGTGCCTGCGCTCAGTGGAGTGTTTCGACCCCCACACCAACAGGTCAGAGACGAGGGACTTCATCTGACCAGAATTAATTGCTGTCTCCTGCTTTATTTCTCGCTTTAGTTACCGACAGATCGGGGGAGACAGCTAACCCTCTCAGGACGCTAGAACAGTCCTCATTCAAACAAACTCAGTTCAGCGACTACATTCATTATAGTTTCTACTGGAATGGCTGAGACATTGTTCTTATTAGTCCCTGGCCAATAATCTCCTTTCAAAAGAAAACAAAGTAAATTTGAGTTGGCAAATGAGTCTTTTTTCTTCAGTTAATGTGAAATTCTCTTTTTTCCCTGATGTTTAAAACTTCCAACCACAGATGGAACAGTTGTGCTCCTATGGCTAAAAGACGTGGAGGCGTGGGTGTGGCCACATGGCACGGCTTCTTGTATGCCATTGGAGGTCACGATGCTCCTGCCTCTTCCCTGGCGTCTCGGTTAAGCGACTGTGTAGAGAGGTGAGTTGACTGGTTACTGTTTCCTGCTGTTGTCTGCCAAGAAGAATAAAACAAATTTAATGTATTTGATGTAACAGTTAAGTGTGTTTTGTGAACCCATGTAAACATTTGTGTGTATGATGTGTGTGTGTGCAGGTACGACCCTCAGACAGACGTGTGGACAGCAGTCGCCCCCATGAGCATCAGCAGAGATGCAGTTGGTGTTTGTCTCCTTGGCGACCGTCTCTATGCTGTGGGCGGTTACGACGGTCAGGTGTACCTCAATACTGTAGAAGCCTACGACCCTCAGACAAATGAGTGGACACAGGTATGCACACATGAACGCAATGGTAAAACACACACATGCACACACACTATGTATATATATCTAGAGTAGTACACGCATACACAGCAGATTTACATGTATGAACTCATATATACACTGACACATGGACTATAGTTGGTAAAAACAAGTAATGAATCATAATGTACACCAATAAAAATGTTATATAAACACAGTTACAGCTTCCCTCCCACGTAACTTGTCATAGTGTAAATGTCTGCTTTCCTCATGCTAATATTGTCCTTGTTCCTGCAGCAGCAGGAGATAGAAGCGACTGTTTCAAAGTTGAACGATCTCATTCAGCTACAGTCTATCACACTTCAGTTTATCTCCTGTATAGCCTCAGAGGATTTCCAACCAGTCGCTAGAAATCTGCCATTTTAGAAAAACACACCATGCTGAGAACAATGGGGGAGCACATGTAGGCAGATACAAGATACTGAGATTGTTCAAACATGCAAAGAGGGTATGAGGACAAATCGAGATGTGAGGGGACACGTGGAGACCATTAAATGTAAATGATCATTGTCAGACACTAAAACCAACACGTGTTGTCCTGTCATAGCATCACTTCCCCTGCTTCCTTTAGCACAAATCTGTCAATCTTTTTACTTAAGACACATAAAGTTTAAGTGTAGATTTAAAATTCTGTGACTGACAGTTTGAACTGTCTAATTAGAAGCTGCCACAAAAGACACAAGAGCTTCACTTAGAGCTAAAACAAATTTTCTTTCTCCCTGAATCACATTTTCCTCAAAATTAAAGTTTGTGGAGGGAATACACAGTGTTATTGATTTAATAAGATTATACATAATTAAACTTTACGGACCAATGCCTCCCAATCCCCCAAATAAATCTGAGGTGATCAACAGAATAGCAAACCAGGGGTAACAGCACTGAATTTCCAAACTGAGGCAAGACAAACCATTTTTAATTATTGAGCACATTTCTTAATGTAATTAAAAACAAAGAAGACAAACCTTGCTATGCCAGATGGACATAAGTTTCAGTGAAGTTTGTTTGAGTTGTGTGGTGCAAAGGAGCAAAATGCTGCTGCTCCATGTTTAGTTTGTACTCTGGGAACAGTATCAAATATACATGTCAGTCCTTAGCCAATAAAGGATTTACAGACAAGCAGTAGTACTTTACAATCTATTTTCGGATGCATTGGAGGACACTGAAGAGACGCTGGTGTGAAGTGTTCACTTTTCTTGGTCTTTTACTCCAGCGACAGGTTTCTGAATGAGTGCAGGTGTCACTGAAGTGGGTGTTTATGGGGGAGACCTGAGAAAAGCACATTAATCCAACTACTGGAAATGAAATGACTTGGTTTCCTGAGAAAACTAGAATAGGACTCAATAGAGCACATACCTCTGCCAAGGCCCAACAGTCACCTTTAATCCCATTAAGCTGCAACAAAGTAAACACATTCATAGACATCAGTCCCTGAAATATGCCTGATTTTTTTCATCAAAAAAAATCTGTGAAAATGGAAGTGAAGTGACTATTGGTCTGACTCTGTGCCAAACTCTAATGGGTTCCTTTTTTGGCCAATGCCCCATCCTCCCACCAAGTTTTGTTGAAATCTGTTCAGTCATTTTTTGCCGTAATCCTGCTGACAAACAAACAGGGGTGAAAACAAAGCCCCCTTGGCCGAGGTAAAGATGTCATAACCACAAATTACAGCAGAAACTGTCTAACCCCAGTGTAATCCTTTAGCACAACAGGAAACTTTACTCAGAGTTTTAGACAAACGTAGAGTTAAATGTTGATGACCAGCTTTTCTATGTTTTACATATTTTCTCTCAGGTGGCACCTCTGTGTCTGGGCAGGGCGGGAGCGTGCGTGGTCGCCGTCAGACTGAAAACATAAACACAAACAGTGGACGTTTCTGGGACTGATCCTGATGTGGCTCAAAGACCGTCCTCACTGACATGGTCACTTAAACTTACTGAAACGTGTCTGCCCATTGAAGAAATAAAGACTCTGATTATTGGTTTTACACAGTGGTAGGTTTTACTTGTAGTCAGAGTTGCATTGTACTCAATCATTCATTTGAATGTCCAGAATGTGTCTGGTAAGGTTCGCGGTTAAGTCATGTGTTGGGTTTCTTGTAAAGTTGAACATCCTGGTAACTTCTGCCACAGAAGTGAACTGCCACCGATTCGACGATGAAGAGGAATCTGCAGTGTTTATCTGAGCATGACAGAACAGCTGTCTCACAGCGTTTTTTTTCTTGCCTATTATTTTGTTCCTGTAGACAAGACGGGACAGACACACTCACACACACGCAAACCTTACATGTTTGCTTTCAGCTTCTATTTCTGCTGACAGAAAGGTGAGCGAGGCAGAGGGAGATTGTCAAGACGGCTGAGATGCCTCATCACTTTTGGCTCTCAGTTTTCCTAACAATATCTGATGGTGTGTATTGATGCTATTTTAATATATTCCCTATTATTTTTATGCTGCAGTTGGCAAGTGCTCTCCTCCTGCTTCTCTGCCTCTCTCGCCCGCTGACAGATAAAAGAAAGACTTTTGACATAATCAGCACAACCTTATGAACAACTGTACTGTAAGCAACTCTGGGCCTATTTTTTAAAGTCAAAAGCCCATCATCATGCTTTATGTAATAATTCTGTGCGTGTCTTCTGTGTTGCATCAGAAGCATACAGTATAGTCTGATATACAATTTAGCGTATCTCTTTTACAAGCTGCACTGGCAAATTTTCTCCCTTTTTGCTTTATATTTTGTCTTTTAAATTATGTAATTCTAATTTGTCATAATTGAGGTCCAGTGAACTCTTTCACCAGGTTTATAGTCTTGAGTAATAATAATAGTCATAATACTGTGGCCCCTTGTTGATCCCTGTAGGGAAATTTAGTTTTCAATTTCCTGCAGAGGACAGGGTCAGCTATTTACAGACTTGGTGTTATACAGGGTCAGTTGATCTTTTCTGTCTGCCAGCCGCCTACTTTTTATCCACTTTGTGTGTGTGTGTGTGTGTGTGTGCGCGTGCGTACGCGCGCACACGTGTTTGGGTGTTCAGAGATTGAAAGGAGTATATTTTTATCTCAAATGAGAATCTCCCCCTTCCCCTCTCAATATCTTCAATTCCCTGCTGCTTTCTCTTCATCACTACACACACACACACACACACACACACACACACACAAATACACACTGGATACTCAGGCAAAATGAACAACAGTCGATATAACGAGAGCATGAATTTAATAACGTTGATTCAGCCAGTGCCAATGTTTTGTTTGATGTTGAGATCAAAGCTTTATTAGATTTGACAGACAGAGCATGAGACACGAGCCGGATGCGAGTCTCGTGGAACAACCTTGTGTGTTATTATTTGTGGGCATGTGTAAGTATGTAAATAGCCTGAAATGTGACGAACGTGAAGGTTCTGGCTGCAGGTTCACTCCGAACATGTGATTGTGTGTGTGTGTGTGTCGTCTGTGTGTGTGTGTGTGTGTGTCGTCTGTGTGTGTGTGTGTGTGTGTCGTCTGTGTGTCTGTCTAGTGTACAGAGAGCTAACTCCTGACACTGAGAGGCAAAGCAGGCATCCTGTCTGAGCTGACAGATCTAGAGCTAATGTAGCCCCCAGAATGCACTTTACAAACGCACACACACATGCAACTGAGAGCCAAGTGCCCCAGGAGTCAGTGAAGATTGAAAAGCCTCACAAATTTGCCAGCATGACATCTAAAAAGCAGAGATGGGCAGGCCGGCAAATTCCCCACAGTTGATCTGATGTTTATTCAAGCCTAATGCACTGCTGCATTATTTTATTTTCTTCCCCTTCAGAGCCGCCCGCTGTTTATTTAGAGAGTAATTCTCTTAAGATCACAGCAGAAGTGTGTCACCTCCACTGTGTCGATGTTGTCTCAAGTTGAAAATAAAGACATTCCAAATCATGGTAAATATTCAAGTATATTATGTATATAAATAAATGTACAATCTGTATGTAGTCTTATTGAACTATGCTGTATATGATATGGTGCACACTAAATGTGCCATGTGTTACTGTGTGTTTTTTGTACCATGAATTCAGATGAAGATGTGATAAAAGGAGGGTTGGTGATCAATGGTGCAGCTGCTCGTCCTCTTTTTGTACCAGAAGATTTCACCTCCTCTTTTACTATATACATTATGTATGTACATTATAAGCTTCTGTAATATGCTGTTATCTGTCTTTTATACATTAAAGTCAATATGTGATTTAACATTTGTTCCTGGGGTTTTTCTCCTGTGTGAAAAACACAAGCAAGGCAGTTTAAGAGTCACGGCTAAATCATGTTTATGGTGCAGATGTTTTTACCAGCAGTTTACATTTGTCACAATCACTATAAATGTCATTATGGTGTAAATTTCTATCGTTATATGTGGCTCTTATCTCTAACAACGTTCCCATCAGAGCTGCACTGTAGCGATTTAGCGGTTTCCAAAGGTTTCTGTAGGACGTATCGCTCTGAAGAACAGTTCCCAGGCCTGGAGGCTAATATGAATCCATGAATCCTCATTACTCTCGAGTGTGGACGCTCTTAGTTAAAAGCAGCAGCCTGAGACCAGAGACTCTGCAGCAGGTTGAGATTGTCCGCCAACTGAAATGAGTGTGAGAAAGAGGGATGCTCACAATTTACACATATTTTAACCTCTAGACAGCGGCCAACTGCCAGCTGATTCACTCTGGTATTTATTGTATAGAAGCTTTAGATCATAACCAGCTCTAACAGAACGGCTCCTGTTCGCAATGAGAGATGACGCCAGTGACCTTGTCTTGAGTCCATAATGTCTGACAGGAACAAGAAGAACGATGGACTGGAGAATGATGGACTGTCCACATGTTCAAAAACTAACTAGAGGTGACCTGAAAACAGCTGGACATGTCCCCACAGTGTCTGTCAGTGCTACACCCAGGTGTACACATTTACATTTTCCATGTAGGTTAATTAGCCCAGTGGAGTCATCCAAACATGCTGGGCAGCCAAGCACACTAAACTTAGTAGTCAAAAGAAGATTCAGAGTTTCCGAAGAAAACTGTCTGAATACTTGGAGCTGTGTAAGTTATGCACAAAACTTCCAGAATATTTCCATTTGAGTGAGTGCTACATTAAAGTCTGAGGTTTCAATATGTCCCAGAGGATAAACATCATATAGCTTCAATAACAGTGTTTAAAGCTTCAGGGGAAATAAACAAGGATAGAGTTGTGTTTTGTGCATTCAGACATCTTTATTGTACTCTTCTTATAAACGGTCAATGAAATCATGTTTGAGAAAGAAAATATAAGTTTACATTTTGTTCTATAAATACAATTGGCTCAGAATATCAATTAATTGATGTAAAATACTGTAGGCTAATAGTTACTGAATAATTTTCCATTTAGTTGCTGTTATGGAGCTTTCAATCACATCCCAGGATCTTCCTGAGCAGAGGGTGTCGAAATTTTACAATCTACGATACATCAGCTAGGAGTGATTTAGTGCAAAGGTTGGACTGTTTTAACATTGTTATCGCCAAGGAGGTGGTCTGTCTCTTGTCTTTAAGCAGGGTTACACAAAAACTACTGGATGAGTTACCAGGGAACTTGGTGGAAGGATATGTTATGGGTATATATATGAGGAAGGTAGATGCAGGGTTTTTTTAGGATCTGGATTAGCAGGCAGAATCAAGAGTTTATTACATTTTCTTTAACATGGTGAGACAGGGTGTTAGCCTTGGTGGTGTTATGCGCTCTCAGAGAAGTCTTCTAGTAATTACAAGCAATATAGGGATTAATAGTAGGTGCACCAAAGTTCTTCAGAGGATGACGCACACATGGCTTCATAAAAGATCTGATTCATCAAACAATTTGACTGTCCTGCAGAGACAACAGTCGAACAGGAATAAACCAACCCAAATGACAATCTAAGGAGGGCACGCTGTAAGTAGTAGAAGATTTGGGACTGACCAAACAGAATCAGATCCTGCACAATATAAAGATTTCCTGCGAATGTGATGGACTGTTCTAAATGTCCATGAGCACTGTCCCATCATAATCCCTACAGGACAGAATTAAATTCTTATTGGACTTTTTCTGTAAGGCTATATAATTCATGAAGCAGACAAATGAACTAAAATCCTTTTAGGAGAAAATTTCTTCTGGCACACAAAGTTTAACGTCAGCACAGTTTGATGGGCACAGGGAAATGTGTGTATTTACAGTAAATCATAAATGATTTATTGCAGGATAACAAGATAATTGTATTTCATCTCTGGTGTGGTACTTCATTTAAAAATGTTCCTTGGATTGCATATATATTCTGCCGCTTTACTCACTTGGGGTTTATTGTCACGCTGGCAGAAACATTTCACAAGATTCATTTTTCATCCTTTCTTTTTTCATCTCTCTGCTCTAATTTTACTATTTTGCTCGGAAATCCAACAGCTGCTCCCTTCAGTGCATCTTAATGAGGACTGAGTCAGCAGGGTGTATTCTGCTTCAGCATGCCAGAGCACACAGAGGAATATTGGTGTCATGCAGCTACTATTTCATCCCAGCTACCAGGAAAAATAAATTGCCGTAATTTCATCAATGTGTGAAAAAAGGACAGAAGGTGTTGTGCCACCTTTTGTCAATAATGAAAATTCAAGAGAAGGATTCAGCTGAGCTAGATTTACTGCAGAAGAACATCATGTTCGTTATTAACTCGCAAAATGTTTGTATTTTTTAGAAAAGCATTTCTGGTTGTCTGTATTTAAAAACTGTGACCTGAGTCATAAAAACTGTACAAGGCTTCCTCCTACTGGATCTGAGGTGGAAGCGCAACAATATGGATGACAGAATTTTAATCCAACAAGTAGGGAACCTGTTCAATTGGTTGAGGGCAGGATCAAGACCTGAGCTGTTGATTTTCTTTCAAATTCTTTAAAGGTCAAGGTCACAGCATTGGATCTAAGTTTTATTCTAACACTAATACATGTGAGATACGATGACAGGACATATACGATG